TATATATATATATATATGTATGTATGAACCATTGTGTCTAATACGAACAAAAATTGACATATATATGAACTTGGACTGCATAGCATTTATAAACATAATATGAACATAATAAGAATAATTGCTACACGAAATGAAATTAAAAAAAAACAGGTATGAACACAATATGAACAGCTTGTGAACAATAGTTCTTTCATTATGAACACATTCAAGAGCGAACCAATGTTGAGATATGCAGCTAGTGTATATATAAACACAATATGAACACTTGTGAACAATAGTTCATTCATTATAAACACATTCAGGAGCGAACCATTGTTGAGATATGCAGCTAGTGTGCATATGAATACAATATGAACAACTTGTGAATAATAGTTCATTCGTTATAAACACATTCAGGAGCGAGCCAATGTTGAGATATGCAGCTAGTGTACATATGAACATAATATGAATACTTGTGAACAATAGTTCATTCATTATGAACAATGGGTTTATCCATAATAGCTTGAACGATACCGAAAACTTTACTACCGGGTCTCTTCTACCAATCTCAAATTCAAAAACATTATAGATAGAAAAATCAATATTATATAAAAAAAACAAGATCAATATAAATTAACAAAAATTATAAATTCAATATTAGATGTCTTGATTCATGTCCCTATTAGAACATATATGAACACTAGTTGCAGTCTATGACAGGTCAAACATCAAAAGCAGCTGATGAAGCAAAATGGTTATCAGAATTGGATTGCATAACAAATTAAGTTGACGAGAATTGGGCTCGTAATAATAATTAAAGAAAAAACTACCAACACAATATGAACTATAAAAAACACAAAAACGTCATAATCAACATAATTTCGATTAAAACGAATACAATAACATATTAATCCATTATCAATACAAACGCTTTGATTATTATCTTCACTTCCGGAACTTGAAGTCCGATTGTCATTGTAAATCATTTTAACATTCTCATTGTTGTCGAGTTGTTTTCCAATGGGTTTATCCATATTAGCTTGAATGATATCGAAAACTTTACTATCGGGTCTCCTTTAACAATCACAAATTCAAGAACATTATAGATAGATAAATCAGTATTATAGAAAAACAAGATCAATAGTAAATCAACAACAATTATGACATTTTTTTGATTTTATAACTCCTAATTAATGATATGGGAGTTATATACAAACTAAAATTATATATTTACCCTTGGCATTAAATTGTAAGATGGATATGAACCTAGATAAAAGATGGATTTTCATTGGTTGAGCTTGGTTAACAAAGTTAACACAATAATATTGGTTAACATTTGAACCAAACGCGGGCTCTCTCTCTCTCTCTCTCTCTCTCTCTATATATATATATATATATAGAAAGAGAGAGAGAGAGGGGATCGATCAAATGAAAACTGCCTTCATTTGTGTAAACCATGTAAACCAATCTCATCCATTCATTTTCTTGAAAAATGATCAAGATTAGTTTAGGTTATATTAGGAAATAAAAAAAATTTATTTTATAATCCCAAAAAGTGCAAAATGTTAACTTTAGTATTAGTAATATTAATAAAACAAAATCATTTGTAAAATAATATATTAATTTTATGTTCAAATATTATAAAAAAAATAACGTTCATCATTAAAATAGATCAACAATAAAAATAAAACACACTATAATCAATTTAACAAAATGAAACCTTTTGAATAAAAAAAATTTACTACTACATTTCATGAACGAAATGGTTTCACTATTTCATCAATGCACAAATCAACGTAATGCTAGATGAAACATTTGTCATTTTCAAGTTTTCGGTAGATGGATCCGTTTCATAATTATGAAATGGTTTCACTCTTTGCTAATTAAATAATATGTTCTTAACAATTATGAAATTGTTTCTCTGTCGTAATAATGAAATTGCTTCACTGTTCGCTAATTACACAATATTTTCTTATCAATTACGAAATGGTTTCACTTTCTTCATGCATCCATTTCATCAGCCAATTTCTTCCAATACGAACACGTTTCATAGAGTCAATGCATTTACCATTATATGTTTTGTTAACCATTAAGTGCAATAAATCATCAAAAAAAAAAAAAAATGAAACAATTTCATCAAATATTGTTGATAAGAAAACAAGATTATGCAAGAATATTATATTACACAACCAGTTCATCCCCAAAAGTTTCATAAAACAAGCTCATCAATGAACGTTTTCACGAACTAATCTGCATACGTTTCATAAAACAAGCTCTTCAATGAATGTTTTCATGAACAAATCTAACTTGAATCTATTTCACAGCTGATTATATTTTTACCGGTTCATGAATCTTTGTTTGGATCTGTTACTGATTTCGTGGATTAATGAATATAATATATTTTTATTTTCATATTATTACCACTAATAAACCGAGAAACCAAATAACAATATTCATTTATTAAAATTCTAATTTAAATGAACATTTAAATGTTACCATTTATAAAATTTCTTTTATTATGTTATCTTAATTAAGATTTATTAATAACTTCTATATTTAATAGAAAATAATGTAAATAACAAATCTACCTTTAATGATTAAATTTAATTAAGAAAAAAAAAAGAATTTTCCTATTGATCGAAATTAGTTTATATGGTTTCTAAGAATTAGACGGTTTTCATTTGATTCCATCTTTACATGTATGTATGTATATATATATATATATAGACTTGGGATCATGTGAGACCAATGATTTTTCGTGAGACCCGTAAGACCAATTCTCAACCATTGGATTAGATCTACAATTTGAAAATCTAAACATTAATAAACGTCACGAGACTTCTCAATAATTATAAAATTGTCATCGTGCAATTTAGACCATTAGATTATTAACTTATAAAGTTGATCAATGAACATAAATTGTTCTTACGGGTCTCATGAAAAATCTTTGGTCTCACGTGAATCTAACTATATATATATGTGTGTGTGTCACGGGAATCATGTGAGCAAATAATTGGTGGTGGTGGTGAATGTGGTGTCTCTTATATACATGGGGCCTTTCACCATGAATTAGTTAGTGTGGCCTAAAACTCACTTTCATTATTATTTATATATATATATTCTTTTTTATATTTAAGTTTGAGAAATTTGCATTTTAATATTCAGTGACATTAAAGTGTGTTTTGTTTTGGAATTTTCTTGAAAACAAACTATAAACTCTTATGGAATTTTTTATATTTTCAAAAAATAATAAATATTGAGACTTTGTTTGTGATGAGATGAGAGTCTAACGTATTAAGAAGGTCGGTGGGTGGGTTGTATTGTATTTATGAAACGTTTATATTATTATAAAAAATTGTGATTTTTTTAATAATTTTAAATTGTTGGTATTTTAAACGGCCAAGATTGAGTCATGCATTACTTAGTCAATGGATAAGATTCAATTTCTAATAATTTTACAATAAAAATAGATCCCGCCGTCATCTTCACGTTTCTGTTTACGGGTCACCCATGCATCCACGTCATTCAACTCAACAACCGCCATGTAAAATTCTATTTCTGACGTGGATCTGTTCTGGATCATCTATTATATTTTATTCTATTACTTTTTTAATTTTGCATTTTGTAAGAATATAAATACCAATAATTTAAATTTTGCCATTGAATCTTCATCTAAGCCACTTTCTTTTTATATCCTAAAGATACATTTAGGATGTATTTGGTATCAAGACAAGACAAGACAAGACAAGACAAGACATAATATAATATAATAATTGTTCAACGTTTGGTAAGATCAAACTGGACAGAACAGAACAAATAAAATGACAAATTTACCTCTGATGAATTGTTTATTTTAATTAATTTATGTAATTTATTAAATTATAATTAGAATAATTATTTTTCATAACAAAATATATCATTTGAAGTTTTCGTCAAAACAATTAAAATGACACTAAATAAAAAGTTTATATAGTTTTCTAGTTTTATTTTTATCTCTTTTCTACACTATTTTTTATTATTAATATATAATAAATTACATAAATTAATAAAAATATAGAAATCATATAAAAATAATATTTTGAGGACAGTAAAATAAAAATTTAAGAAACATAAAATACAATAAATAAAATTTAAAGAATGAATAAAATGTAAAAAAGAGATATATTTGATATTTTGAAAGAAAATTAAGTTTTATTTTGAGGTTATATTGGTAAAATACAAATATGTTCTACCCTGTTCCATGGGGTAGGGGTGGAACATGCCTATTGCACTTTGTTTCACTATGTTACTATCTGTTCCATATAAAATTCATGTCAAACATGGGACAAAGATCTCTATCATGTTTTGTCATGTCCCTATCAAGTGTACTAAACACACAGTTGAGGTTGGATTTCAGTAAAAATAATAAAGTTAAAAGAATAAAACATTTATATATCCTTAATTTATAATTTATTTGCCTATTTTCATATCATGATCGATACTTTAACAAATCCATGAATATACAAGTTACCAAGGGGCTTGTTTACCAAAAGCTTATCCGGATAAGCGTGGACCAAGTCAAATTACCTCAACGGATGAATATGATATGGACCAAGAATCTTACCCGGTAAGAGCGAGACAAGGACCAAAAGTCTTACCCGGTAAGTAAGAGCGACGACTCTTACCACGATAAGTGCTTACCGTGTAAATTGTTACATGCGATGTCCTTTTGATGGACTAAAATCTTACCCGGTAAGTAAATAGTAGTGTTAAATTTTACCGGTAAGCATTTACCGGATAAGTATTTAGTAAACGTCGCTAAATGTATCTAAAAATTCGTTTTTGAACTTCTTTTCGTTTCATTTTCTTTTTGTTCTTCTCTTCTCTTCACTTACTATTTTCAATTTTTCCATTTCACTTTGTTATTTACTATTCTTGGCAGGATGCTGTAACTCAGATCAACTTGATCGCTTATTTTCTCAAGCTACCAAAATTTTGGATTGCAATTTGCATTGCATCTTCACAAGCAACGAAACGTGTGATTTTTTATGACCCAAAAAATTTGTTATGTAACAAGACATCGTCTTCACAAACCTACGTCCTAAATAAACATTCTTCGGTTTCGATACTTTACCTAGAATCACCGTACAACTAATAAACATGCTTCAAAAGTTTTCATCTGATAAAATAATCACCTTGGCTACCAAAAAATCTCTTGGTTGCTGTACAACAGGCGCCGTTGCTGCATCATCGTCCTAGCGGCTGTCCTGCAACAACGTAAAGCCACAGGTTAAACACAATGGCTGAATTTCAAAATGAATATCAAGAGCATATGGATTTAAAAATGTCTTATCTAAACAGAAGAATGACTATTCCTATCTGAAAAGATTTGCAGTCTTACGACCAACAAGTTTTAAAACTAAATGCTATCAGAGTTCTATCATTGATGGTTGTAAATATGGATTGTCCCTTGCATCAACTAGATGTCAAAAACGCCTTCCTCAAGGGAGGGAGATCTAGAGGAATAAGTCTTCATGAATCCCTCTGGTTTTTTCCACCAAAGCAAATCAGGGCAAGGAACTCCAAAGTCCCCTTTTATGGCCTCAAACAATCTCCTCGTGCGTTGACCCGTTCTCTACTTGTCAACCATACCTCGAATCAGAGAATAACCATCCTTGTTGTCTATGTTGATGATATTGTTCTCACTACAAGTGAACCCAGTGAAATTCCTCGTCTCAAGGATCTCTCGTCCCAGGCATTCGAAATTAAAAATCATGGAAACCTAAGTACTTGGGGATGGAATTGAGTTTAAAGATTATCAAAACAGACAACTCTAAGAAAATAAGTTCGACAGCACATCATATTTAATATAGGTCGGACTCTAACACTGATCTTCGTGATGCTTCCACATCTATTTATTTATTTTATTGCTAATTACTTTAGTTTTATGAGGGAGGTTAGTGATTTTTGGGTCTTCTGTCACAAAGGAGTAAAAAGGTGAAGTAGCAAGCTGTTAAATAGGTGAAAGGCTAGTAGGAAAGAGGTATCTGATTCGTAAACACTGGAAAGGGGGAGAGACCACAACTTCTCCAGTGTTGGAACCTCTTAATCATTTGATTGACGATAGAAATTCATATGCAATCATCTGACTACCATGAAAATTTGTTCTGTTTCGTTACTGATTATCAGTAGGAGTGCATCATAGACCATGTTGTCACAAGAAGACATCGTCACATAGTTATTATTTGTGATAAGCAGCTAATGGCTGGTAGCTTTGCACATATTTAGATTCCAATTATTTGAAGTATAATAAACCAAATGAAGCTACATAAAAATTAGGAAAATTACCTTAGTTTTCACCAAAAGGACAAGGATTTTGTAGAAAATCGCTTGCTAAATTCCCCATCCTTCTTTGAGGTCCTAAGGCATTATTCATATGGAAATGATCTGACAACTTCTTAGGCAGGATCGTTCTGGATTCGTCCGAAATAGCTTCTGAACTTTTTGCAGGAACTGGATCACGATTTTCCACCATACATGGGACTTGGTTACCTAGCTGCTTTCAGCAAAATATTCAGCTAAATAGCATAACTAGAAAAACTTTATTGCATTAAAATTGTTATATAAAGAAAGACACATCAAGAAGGCATGTTTAATACACACAATCAGTAAAATATGATCAACAATAGCTTTAATATAATCCATAAGAACAAACTCCATCCAAAATCTACTATTGTGTGATTGAAGACTCATGGGCAATTCTTTGCAAGTGCTCCAATAAAGAAGGGTAATTCAATATTTTAAAATGTAACGGTGCATACTAACAATTTGTATTATTATAGAAACATGAAAAGATAAAAAAGAATTTCTACAATGGAAAAGGAACATTTGTTACAAACCTTTTCATGCTGGCCATCAATTTTCTCAGGATAAGAATAACTGTGCGCCGATGTCCATGGTGTCATCTTATTGCTGTCTGAAAATTGCATATTGCTTAACCCTTGATCATGTTGTGTAGATGATCTGTAGTACATATGGCTTATCGCGGACCTGAGACGCTGAGTTCTTTGTGAATAGAAAATCTTGGTTGCAAGCGGAGCTGGAACAGTCGACATTCCTGCTCGACCATCATTGTAATCACATACATTAGTTTAGTACATTAAACAGTAAAACATCAAAAAACATACATTTTCAAAAAAAAATTCCTCAAAAGATTGGAGGTTCTTTATTGAGCAAATCATGCCTGCTTAAGATCATTGTTACAAGAAGCATGAAATAGTTGTTTTTAGTGCAGATCAACAGTAAAAATAAGTGGGTGAATTACCTTTGGTCTGTAAATGGTGGTCCTCGAGTTTCCTAGGTTTTTGAAGGCTGGTGACACTATCAAAGATCTTTAAGCTTCTTGCCTGTGATTCGTTGGTGAAATCTCTGCCTGAACAATAAGAATTTGCTGCAAATGAGGAAATGAATACATTCACCATGTTTTTAACATTGGCCGACACTGAACAGCATATACAAAGTTGCTACACATTGGCCACTACAAAGGGGCTTCAAACGGTCAAAGATTTTCACAACTTAATCTTCATGATGCACAAACTGGCTCCATGGAAAAAGGTTCACAAGTATAAAACAACCTCATCACAAACAAAACTGAAATCTGGTACAATGTGATTGGCTTGCTCATTAAATTTGATTCTTGGAGATGTGCATTTGCCTCATTTCACACTGGATTTGTCGGAGAACCAAATGTGGAAGCACCACTCATATGAAACGACATAAACCAAATCAAACAAAAATTGCATGTGCCATGCACAGTTTTCAGATTCAACTCCTCAAAGGCAGCAACATTCTGTTTATTGCTCTTCTAGGATATAGATTACTGCCAACAAGTACAGAATACCTTGCCATGGACCTCCTGTTATATGGGCATCCCATGTAACAAGCGTCTAAACAACTTGTAACACAGTTGGTGCCCGATCAGGATGTCAAACATCACCTAGAGCTCCTTTGAGCTACCTCAGTATCTCAATAATTGCGCCCAGATGAGTAGTACGAGAGATTGTTGACACATGAAGAGTGAGGATTTTAGTGCAACTCAACTTTCTCGTCCTAAAGCCAAAGATAACTGATGACGTTTTGATTATGAAAAAACATGCGACATAAGTAAAAAGCATGACTTTTTTTACCTTGTAAAACACAGTATATCTTCATTTTTATATTTTGTTGTTTTTAATGCATATAACAAAATGTTTTAATAATTTGATGGTAAAAAGAAAAAGTTACAAGGAAACTAGCATAGTTCCAAGCTCCCCCTCAAGCTTGGTTGTAAATGTTATACAAGCCAAGCCTGGACCTGAAATCGTAAAAACTGCTTATAGGAAGAGCTTTGGTGAGGATATCCACAATTTGCATTTGGAAGAAACATAATTCAGTTTGATGATTCTGGTGTCGACCTCCTAAGGGATGAAATGACAATAGATTATCTATGCTGATTGTAGCTCAAGTATCCATAAACATCGTCACATAAGGCTGAACTTCTTCTCTTAATTCCTTCAGAAGTCGTTGGCAGCCACATTCCTTCACAAATGCCAAGAGTCAATGCTCTATACTCGGTTCCATCACTGCTACAAGAAACGGCACTTGTTTCTTGCTCTTCCATGTGATAAGATTGCCCCAAACATAACAGCAATAATCTGTAACCGATCGATCTTCTATTTGTTTATGTAGTTGCTCAATTTGCATCTGTATAGATCAAAATTCCATGGTTTTCACATTTTCATAAAGATTAGTCCAAGTCCAGGAGTCATCTTAAGGTACCTTAAGATTCTCTTAACATCACATAAGCGTTCATCACAAGGATTGTTCATGTGTTGGTTGATCATACTCATTGAGTAGGTATGTCCTGACGAGCATGCAAGATAAATGAGCTTTCCAATCAAGCGTAGATATCTCCCTTTAATGGTGGGGATGCTTTCTTCTCTTGTGTTTTAGTTGTTTGTCGATTCCATAGGTGTCTCCACAGGTTTACAACCAAGTGTGTCAGTTTGTTTTGACAAATCCAGGATATACTTGTACAGAGAGATTACTATGCCTTTCTCTGATCTAGCCACTTCCATACTCGGAAAATATCTTAACTCACCCAGATCTTTGATTTCAAATTCCATAGGTAGGAGTTTCTTTGAAGTGTTGATTTCCAAAGAATCATTGCCGATGAAAATGATGTCATCTACATAGACCATAAGGATTACAAATTTTCCTCCTTTTTCATGCTTGACAAAAAGAGTATTATCGATTTGACATTGTAAATACCCATTGATTGTCAAAGTTTCCGCAAACATGTCAAACCATGCCGGTGGAGACTGTTGAGTCGATAAATAGATTCCAACAGTTTGTATACCATGTCCTAGTTTGCCTTAGTTTCCATCCCAAGAGGGATGAACACGTGGACTTCCTCTTCTAGACTCCATCAAGGGATGCATTCTTGACATCAAGTTGGAACAGGGGACAATCCTTATTAACTATGAGTGAAAGCAGTACACGGACATGTTCAATTTGGCCACAAGTTCGAATGTCTCTTGATAGCCAATTATGTACAACTGGGTGAATCCTTTAGCACCGAGTCTAGCTTTGAATCTATTAATGCTCCCATCTGCATTGTATCAGACTGTGAAGATCCATTTGTACCCAACTGAGATCTTCCTTTTTAGTAGTGAGGTCAAAAACCATGTCTTGTTGTCTTCTGAGATTCGTATCTCATCTTCTATTACTTTCTTCCAGACTCTTATAGCATGAGCCTCTTGAATAAATGGTTGTATTTTAACCTTATTCAAGTTGGTGATAAAAGATCTATATGTTGTAGACAACATTCCATATGCAACATACTTTTGGCTTGGAAGATTAGTACACCCACGAACACCTTTACGTAAACTATAGGCAAATGTAAGTCATCGACAATGTGAGCTTGAGCAGAATCCGTACCTTTGAAAAATACCTCGCTGAAAATCTGTTATTGTGATTGGGTGTGTTAAACCGCTAAAATTCTTTTATTTGGCCACTTTGTCTCCTGTAAACACAAAACTTGGTACTTGGATTTTCAAGTTGCAGGTTTAGATCAGCTGATGATGGATCACGATGGATGACAACATGTAGATTCGAGTTACATGATGATGGGTCCAGCTGGATGACATTGTTTGGTTCTGGAGGACTATTTAGTGACTGATGAATGAGAACAAAGGCCGGTTGATTTGCCAAGGTGAAGGAAGTCCGAAACCGGATATAATTCAGATTTCTTCCCCTGAATGTTAGATTCAGAAAAGTAGGCTTGATTCTCAAAGAACGTTACATCCATAACTTTGTAGATTTTCAAGAGAAAGGGGAACAACACTTGTAACCATTTCATGAGAAGAATAAGCAAGAAACAAACATTTTCTAATATATGAGGTCAAGTTGAAAAAAGTGCCGCCAATCAGACAGATTGGAAAATTCAGCCATTGAGGATGAGTTTTTATGAGAACCTGTCAAGGCATGTTAAATAGTAAGATTCGACTTGCATGCGATTGATGACATGTGGCAAGAACTTTTCCCCAGAACATTTTTTTTTTGTGAAAGGCAATAATTTTATTACAGGAAAGAGAAACCAGAAATTACAAAAACGAAACAAAGGAGCCAAATTCTGCAAGGAGAAGAACGACAAGAAATACCAAACAACCCGCTACAAAAGACAAAAGACCAAACAACCCACTACAAAGGCCCAAGATAAAAAACAAAAAGACAAAAAACGAAAGGGAAGACCCAACAGCCTTTAACTTTGCCAATACGAGCCACTCAACCACTCCATCCAAGAAGGCTTCCTGCTTTTTTCCCCAGAACAATTTTGGAACATTATTTTGGAATAAAATCCTTTGTGGCACTTTGAGGATGTGATGGTTCTTTTTCTTGACCACACTGTTTTGTTGAGGTGTGCCTACACAAGAACTGATGTGAACTATGCCATGTTTGGTGAGCTAAGCCCCTAAAACAGAATTACAAAAATCTTTTTCAAGATAGATACATGTAGTTCTTGTATGATCATCAATGAATGTGAGGAACCAACCCCCATTATTGATCTTCTTAATGTGTGAGGATCCCCAAATGTCACTAAATCCTACAAAACATGAAACTACCGGCTAGTCTTCCTAACTTATACAATCCTTCGTATCTTATACAAATCAACAATTAAAATAAACAAATCTCCTATAACTATTTTGAAGGAAATTAGCATATTTCCACTATCTCCAATTTCAAGGTCCATCGTGAAAACGGAAAAGTAGAGAAATAGAAGACATGAAACATCTTACAAGTTTAAGAAAGGAAAATTTATGAAGAATCTTCCAAGGATACCTCTCATACATATCTAATTGTAGCCAACATGTGAGTATGTGGTAATATTGTGTAACCTTCATATTAGAGCATCCACAATGGTCTAGTCATACAAAGACTTCCATTTTCCACATCAGCTTTCCGCTAACAAAAACCAATCTCTAAAAATCTACTCCAATGCAAAAACCTTCCTGAAAGCTTTTTAACAATTAATATTTAGCATTTATCCTCATCTATTTGAACTGTTCTATAAAGCCCCCTCTACTAAAGAACAATCATAAATACATTGTGTCAATCGTCAATTCATGTTGGAGGAATTCGTGAGTATAGTTAGAAGACAGTAAATAGAGAACTTGGATAAAATATAAGATCGCCCAAGAGCGAGGATAATCTCAAATCTTCGCAACAATTTGGCAGAAATCATTACCTTTTACACCTAGAGAATCATAGCTGTTCCTGTATTAAATGCGAGAATAACACCCTATTAAATGGAAATGATTGTTGGAAATAAGTAGTAGGCGGTTACAAAAAAGGCAGTTACAAACGGGATCCATTTCCTTTCCGAAAGTTGAAAAGCATCATTAGCTAGTTGAAAGCTGCAACATCCATTTTTTTTAAGTATCTAATATTTATATACGGTAAATGCAACAAATAAACCCACACACCCTCATGAGGTTTGAACCCTTGACCTCCTAGGAGGCCAGAGACTATGATACCGCTAGGTCAAAGACCCTTTGGTCTGTAACATCCATTTTGATAGTTGAAGCATCATCAGCTAGCTTAGCATTAGTGGCAAACCATCAACTAGCTGAATGCTGAAGCATCCATCTACTAGCTGAACCTCAGTGGCAAAATATCAGCAAGTTGGGCGCTGAAGCATCCATCTGCTAGTTGAACATACTAATAACCACCTAAATCATCAGTGTCTACAAACACTGATGAATAACCTTTAATAACCACCGGCAGGACCACCGCCAGGGGCGCTGCCCCTTGGACCCCGCTAGGGGGCACACTCCCTTGACCCCCGCATATGGCGCCATCTACTGATTCAGCATTCTAGCTAGCTGATACGAGTGTGCATTCCACAATCCACACCTCCTAGCCCATGTTAGAGTTTAACTAACAACCCCATATTATGTTGTGGATCCAATTACACAATATAGACCGATGATTTAACTAAAATCACCAACAATTCATTGTATCCAAAATTTGTGAACTCTTATTCGGGGTATGTTTATGTTTTTAACTATTCAATGTTGGTGTCATTTTAATAGTCTCAAGTCGAAGAGAGCTTTTTTGTAAAAAAATACTATTATTTTGAATATTCAATAAATTATTAATCAAAAAGTAATAAAGGTTTGAAATGAAAGTAGATTGAGAGAAGGGGACAAGATGAAAATAAATTTGGAAAAGCTAAAACTTCAAGCGCTTATTGTAGACCAAGTCTTTGTTCAACCATCTTTTCCAATGCAACCAGCCCATTTAAAAAGGTTTTCCAAATAGTAAAAGGTAAGCTTGCATTGGAGATGCTCTTAACGTATGAGTAAATTTCTGATCTCTAGTGGACCTCTTAGTAGGATTCTACCCGATGAAGTTCGTGGTTGTTCACAAGTTGAGGAGAAGAAACCCAACTTTGGAGTTACCATGAGTGTGGGTGCAAGATTGGAGGTGATTTCAGAAGTGGGGGATTCGGAACCATAGTAAGAAGTTATGGATTTGAAAATAATGATGAGGAAGGTGGCAGAACAGAAACAGAAAAGAAAACTATGGTTTTAGTTCTCATACCATGGAAAAATTCAGAATTTTTCTTCTTGTTATTGAAAGTAATTTACAGCCTAATATATAAAGAAGATGGTCAAATATTCTAGCCCCCACAATCAGCAACTAATCCTACAAAACATGAAACTACTGGCTACTCTTCTTATATTATACAAGTCTTCATATCTCATACAAATCAATAATAAATAAATATCCTGCAACTATTTAGAAGGAAACTAGCATATTCCCATTGTTTCTAACTTCAAGGTCCATCATGTAAACAGAAAGTAGAGAAGTAAAAGACATGAAGAATCTTACAAGTTTAAGCAAAGGCAATTTTATGTCAGAATTCTTGTGCCACACCTTCAATACATGCACAAAAAATTGGGTAAAATTGATTGATTCAAGATATTTCTAGCAATACTAGCAAAATTTCAATCTACTAAAATGTAAATGTCTAGATACAATGTATCCAAGTCTAACAATGGGAAAATTATTAGATATTCTGAAAAATAAACATTCATATATGCTTAATTATTTAATCTTAAATTTAGTTTGATTAAGGAGATATAAAGAATAGTGTTAAGGTCAAACATCTTGACATATTTAGGATATGAGGATTAGGCACTTTCAGAATTTTTGAAATCAACTCATATAACCTTGGTGTCTTTTCAAAATAGAAAAAGGCAGAGAGAAAATACAATGAACTTTTAAGATACATGTTTGCACTTTGGGGTGTCTGAAGACAGGGTCGTTAGTTATGTTGACTCACATTACGGGGGTGATTCAAATTAGCGTCGTTCTCTCATGGGTTATGTGTTTACAGTTGGCTCATGTGCTATCAGTTCGAGTTGGAAGGGCGTCTTACAACCTAGGTTATTTTATCTAGGTCTAAGAGGCATTCAAGGAGGCGAGGTCTCATCAAAGGTTTGTTCAGTTGACATTTGTGATGATATGGTGGTGGATTTTGTTTTTATGATAAATTGAACACTAGAGTGCTATTGATGTGGTTCAAGGGTTTGTCTTGTGAACTGTATGAAGATATGGTTTTGGATTTTGTTTTCAGCAATAAATTGATAATAAGAGTGCTATTTACTTAGCATATGATTGGATGTTTTATGAGTGCAGAAATCACATTGATGTGTGGCATCATCTTGTGCGTGAAGTTATTGCCAAGGTGAGAAAAATCTCAACTCCTAACATTTTTGCTGACAGAAATGATGACAAAGGTTGGAACTATTGCCAGGTTTGGAATGTTTTCAAACTTGGTCTGTGTTCATGGTTCAAGCCCGTGAAAGGCTAGGTGGAGGGAGGTTAGGTCTTAAACTGAATGTTTATTAGATGTCAATGTTTTTGCTGGTGTGATGATAATAATGTTTATGGAGCTTGTTCTTGGAGTATACTTTTATATGGATTTGGAGTCAAGATGGAGATTGTTAAATATGACAGCGAATCTGATTTTCTAGATCATACAACTTTTTTTGGCGAGTTGATTGAACTAAACGGAGATACTTGCAGTACAAAAGTTGCTACTTGGACAAATCACAGAATGCAACCTGAAGTCGCGTTGCCTGAATCCTGCGAGTTGAAGACAACTCTCATGCAGATGTGTAATGAAGCGGGTTTTATTAGGGTTAATTTGTTAGTTATCTTCTTCATATATTGTTTTAATATTCTCCCAAACTCCATTGATGAACTAGCCCAAGAAATCTGTGATTTCTGCATTGTTTCTCCTCTTAATTATTGAAAACTTCATCATTAACTAGTGGACTTCTCTATCAGTGGTGTCCTCAACCCGTGGTTTTCTCCTGTTTCGGGTTTCCACATAAATCTCGGTGTTGTCTCTATTCTCTTTGCTTCATTATGTTTAAAGATTATTGCTTTATCATTGTTAATACATTGAGGATCTAGTTAATCATTCCACATTAGAACCGATATGTAGTTCAAACTGGTCATGAAATTGTTGACTCTTCTGCTGTTTGACTTCGACCTTATATTGGAGTAGTGATTGGAGCTTGTTGTCAACGTATTTGATCATCTCAAACTCATAACACAAAGGGTAATACATCCAGCCACATAAATACAAACTTGTTTGCGAAGTTTTGATATGATTGAAGAATTAGTTTCTTTGACTTACTACTTTTAGTAACTTTACGGTTCCTACTGATGTATATCTAGCTATAACCTATCGATTGGACTTCTATGAGAATTATTCCTGTCACTGCAAATAAAGTACATTTTCATTTCACTGCATCACAATGACCACAACCACAAGCAATGTGCGAGTCTGTGAGATTAAAAAGATGTGCACCAAAGAGAGATCACCAATACTGAACAGAACAGATGAAACAAGAGCAAAATTTAGAAGAAAAAAAAAGAAAGAAATGGAACTTGGAAAATAAGGATTATACCTTTCACTTGTATGGGAAATGAAGTTGCCTTTAGGGTTTGTTCATCCAGATTAGAATTTGAAGCAGCAGTATTAGAAAGTGCAGACCTTTCAGGCTTACCAACTGATGGAACTTGTGCTTACCTTGATGTTAAGCTCAACAAGCATGTCATACAGGTAAGACACAACACAGCTAAAGAGGACCTCACATTCCTGACACCTTTAAAAAAACTTGCAGGATTCAACTTTCAGAAACAAATGAAAAAGTGTACTGTAGAAATAAATATGATGACAAATAGTAGCAAAAGAAGCAAGGGCTTAAGTTTGTCTTCACGGTACATATTAAAAGGATACTAGAAATACAAATTTGTAACTTCTTCCTCTCCTTCCTTGGAGGTTTCTTTTGCCCACCAACAACATCAACCTCTGTTGTATTGTCTACTACTGAACTTAATGACTTGCAAATATCTGTAAAAATAGAAGGAAAAATATTAAATTGATAAATTCATTTTCAACGGCAGCTCGCTGAGTAGCTTAAAACAAAAAGACAAATCCATATTAGTGGCTAAATGGAAACTCATTCTATGTACATCCATGATCTACAGAAATAGTCTGGAAAAAAAGATTAGCAAGAATCATTTGTAAGAGGTGATCATAATGATTGAGATGGTAGAGGCTTTGAGGAGTATTATCTATCAGCTTACAATACGATGGTTGTAGATACTTCCTCTACAGAAAATGACTCTCACCTACTGAACTCTACAAGTGGTCAAAACTCTAGCCAGATCTACTTTCTCTTCAACAGGAGAGGGATTGGGTGTCATATATAGATTTTGGCAGTGATACATGGAAGGATATAATGATGCAGGAAGAATGTAATGATGCAGTAAATGCTTGTAGTGGCAGACATCCAGTTTAAGCATGATGTAGACGAAGTAAGGGTGGTAAACACCTAGGCGGTGGATGCTAAAAGGAGATGATCCAAGTATTAACGAATGGTTAATGAGAGCCTTGGTGGGATGTGGGAAAATATAGCAATATGCATTTGGAGGATAGCAAGGGGGTGGTTGGCGAAAGTAAATCAAGTAGACATCAGATTAAGGATACTTGATGGTAGCATGATGAGGTACAAATAGCTAAGAGAAGAGGGAATGCTATGAGCCAGTACCTGGTAGTAAGAGTATAGCGAACATTAAACAAGCACAAAATGCCCATAAGTTGCCAGTGAACATGATGGTTATCACTTGATTTACAGACAATGTGGTGAATTTGCAAATTGCATACAACTACAATGCTTACAGTATATTTATGGGTATACATGCAACAATGAGCATTTTATCCCAAACTATTATGGTATACATGATTAAGTTATAATCTATCATGGTCATCAAGAAGTGGAACGAATTTCTGCAACTGGAGATCATTGGAGTTTCAGACAAGCTCAAAAAAATGGTCGAGGGACCCAGTCCACCAGGGGATTCCCCGCTAAACCGGGGATGGGGACGGGGACGGTTATCGTACTCCCTGCCCCACACCGTACCCGTTATATATATTACTTAATAATTTATATTTTTATTTATATTTATATATGTATATATACATATGTATGTATATTATTTATTTCAACTAAAGCAGTAATTCATAATTTCCTAACTAGGTTTATAATCTAAAATTGTTATTTTTTGGATGTTAATATGTAATATTTTGGATATCAAGTTAAAATACAATTACTCGATAAGTTTCGGATATTAATCGATATGGTTTTATATTACTCAATATCTTTTGGTACATGTGACTTTAAGTTTTTTGGATTAAATTGAATTTTTTTTTGGTTTTAGGTTATTTCTTATATGATGTTGTGGTCTTTTTGTATTAAATTAAATTCATTTTGGTTTTAGGTTTATTGAAAATGTTTGAGATTTAAACATGTATGGTCTCTCACATATTTAATTTAAAATAACTTACATAAACGGAAAAAAAAAATCCCCGTTTCCCCGTTGGGTATACCCGTTCCCTATTGGGGATGGGGATGGGGATGGAGACAGGGATAGAGTAAGTAATCGGGGATGGGGACGGGGATTGAGGTCTCCGCCCTATTTCCATGCCTAACCACTATTGTCGTCTTCACAACCGCCACTCACCTGCACCCACCCTACCTCAACCCACCATGCCACTACTAGTGTCGTCATACCCACCCACTCCCAGGCCCCAGCCACCCAACCACTATCACATCACTATCATCGTCAAAGCTACCACCTTGCCACCTACCTCTACCCACCCCTACCGTCCCCCCCTACTGTCCCGCCCCGCCCCACCTTACCCTACTCCAACACACAACCAACCACCATCCTACCATTGTAGTCATCATAGATACCACCCACTGCCCCACTCTAGCCCCACCCTGCCTGCCCCCAACAACCCCAACTATAGAGCAGGGGTGGGGCAGGGTTTAGGTAGGGGTGGGGCGGGGTGATAGTTGTGACGACGACAGTTGTGACATGGTGGTTGGTAGGGTGTAGGCAGGGCGATTGGTGGGGTAGTCCAAACAAAGACGGTTGTTCCAATTATTCTGAGAGATTTCATTCCAATTCCTACCAACCAAACGCATGGTCAAATTCCATCAAATTTCATTCCAATTTGTTCAAAGTCAAATTTCTTTGATGGATTCCAATTCCATCAAATTCCATTCTCTTAACCAAACACCCCCTTAGGAGATAAAGTAGACTAGATTCAGCAACAGAACAACCAAGGCCACTTAGTTCCTTTTTTGGTTGGGGAACTTCAGCAAAATGTCAGATCAGAGGGTGTTAAGGTCCCATGGTATGGGATAAGTTGGGATAATCAATGCATACCCCGACATGCATTTATTCCGTGGCTTGCTATAGAAGGAAGGCTACGAACAGAAAAAATTAGAGCTTGGAAACAACAATACCATTATGGTATGCCCATTGTTTTCCTCACAGCTTGATTCTCACCCCCAAGTGTTCTTTTTCAGAAACATATTGAAGCAAGATGAAGATATTCCTGAACATGGAGGATGTGTCAGAGGAGTGAGATGACATCATATGTTGTATCCAAAATGCCAAACCGTAAGTCTATCTGCAGCGTCCTTAGGTGCCTGGTTCTTGAGGCGTGGTTTACTATATATGGCATGAGAGAAACCACAAGCTCTTCAAATCGGCTTCAAGGTCTGTTGATTAGGTGTTCCATATGATTTATAATGTGATAAGGTTGAGACTTTTTGGGCCTCAAATGTCAGCCATCAACAACAAATAAGGCTCACATTGTTGTGGTATGGAATCTTCTGGAAATCAGATTGCTACTCCCCTCGTTCACATCGGTAATGATGAAAGTTGACCGTTGGATTCAGCATGAATAAGTGTTATAGATTGAAGATTGGCCAGTGGAAGAATGGATCGGGCTCAAGATTTATAGAGTATAGAGGGTTGAGTCATTACCATGGTATTTGCTTGATTTTGTTTTGGCTAGTAGTTATGTGGTATGGAGGGTGTTCCAACCACTTCCAATTATTTGGTTTGACTAGTGCCATCCACATTGATCTTGGGATATATCCTAGTAGATTGAGAGGATATGTTGGTGGGAGGTCCACCAATAGTTTGTAAAATCCTTTATGTGATTAATAACATTTTTCAGAGGTTCCACCTTCCAAAAAAATGTGAAGGTCATTACTCATAGGTAACAAAGTAACGGAATAGTAGAGCCAACTAATTGTATTGGGGAACGATTTTCATTCTATGTTTTCTTGCTATATGTAGTTTGACTGAAAAATTTAATCATGTCAATAAGGATGCAAAGTACATGAGAATCCTGATGTCAGGTTCCATCATTGTCAAATAAAGTTGTAATATAAATTAGTTTTCATTTTTCATCCTCCAATCTAACATATATAATCATAACCACAATACAACCATACAGAGATCAAGAACGACCATAAAAAACTAGAAAGATAATGTTACCTGCATGAGTTGCATATTGACTAGCCTTCACAGGTTTTTTGCAAGAATTGCAACAAACCTGCATGTTGAGAGTTGAGAATCAATATGAAATGCATCAGCAATGTAAATGAAGACAAAACAACAGAAGGCATCATGCATTTGAAACAACACAGAAGAACAATACTCCAGTTTGAATGTCAGCCTATATGTCGAACTTTTCTGAGTGAAAATACTTTTAGATGGTCATGCTATCCTAATCACCTCCTATTCAGATGAAAGCTTTGAAGTTTCATTAGGCATCCATGATTTTGTCATAAGACAAATTCCATGGCAAGAATCATTGCATTTGTTGAACAAGAAGATAAATTCTTACCAGGAGGCCTTTGGCCCTATCACAATAACAGCTAGAAAAGGAGTGTTACAGCCAGTCAGCCAGATCCCAAATAATGGCACTCAATATATCATTTTAATCCTACCAACCATGAGGTTGTTTCAAGCCTTTGGAGATATCAAAGAGTGTTAAGTAGGTGTGTGGATATTTGCCATACAAAAGAGAAGAAAAATTATTTTATATTTACTTGTCTTCTACCTTGTGAGGGAAGGTACAGGGAGGTGCTTGAAGCAAAACAAGAAAAGAATACCAAGATAATTCTCAAAAAGAGCATAAAGCAAAAGCAAACTTGTTTGAAGCCTCACCAATATTAAAGGATCCATCATAGGCCTCAAACCAAATACATGCATATCTGCATCGGAAAATCATAACCGTAAAACAGAAGTTAGTATACAAACATATTGAAGTTTAACATAAGATCCCCCAGAAGAAATAATAGTAGAACCCAGCCTATTGCATACCAATAGTAAAATGAGGGTAATGTTAGTTGCACTCTAAATGTTAGGGTTGCATAGCATCCCTCTTTCCAAGATAAGAAAGTGTTGCAATTTTCGCCGCACTTATCAACAAGATAAAATACAATGACTTTTTTATGGGTCTACTTTAGTTCAGTGCTTTAAGCACGAGTGAGAAAACAGATGGGAGTCACTGATCTTTTTTTGGTACAAGGGGACACCTTTCTCATCCTTTATTATCCTATAAAGAAATAATCACTGCATTGTTAAGCTGAATGAACCTGGCTATATGAAGCCTTGTGATCATCTTAATGGTCCAACCAACAAGAGATTCTTGATAACATGTTTTCTTAGTTAACATTGTTCCCCGTTAGCATTGCTATCTTGGGTGTCATCTCAAAGGTTTAACTAACAAATAACAAGAGATTCTAGATATCAGGTTTCCTTGGTTTTTATTGTTTTCAATTAGTTTACTATCTATGGTTTTATGTCTTATTCTTGGTGCACAATCCCATCTTTTCAGGCATGGGCGGGTGCCAGAAGTGGCATTGGCACCCCCTCTAACTTCAAAAATAAAATTTGATGTAGTCCAAAATCTCAATTACCCACTTAAAACTTTGTTTATTCATTTCAAATTCTTCTTTTACTTCCATCTTAAATGCCTAGTTTTCTAAAGGTTCTAAACTAAACACGCTACTTCATTGAATATACAAATTCTTTAACAATAAAATTTCATGTATTTTCAAAGGGCTTTTCTTAGTTATATGTTTATCTACACACACCTTGTGTTAGTTTGTATAAATATATGCATAGTTATGTTGTTTAGGTCACTCATGCTTTTAATTAAAAAACATATATACTTAATAGGGTTTTCTCAACCTTGAAATCGTGAATTTTCTTTCATTTTTTGTAGGCACCCTCTAGATAAATTTTCTGGCTCCGTCCCTGTTTTCTGATACTCTATTTATAGAGGGTTCTCCCACATAATAACCAATTAATTCAAACCCTAAAATTTTCATTGGTATTAGATAATAAGCTTTAATATCCAAAACCCTAGTGCCTTCTAAATTTGCCTCCAACAAAATATCTACTGCTCTAAGGTAGTTGTAGCCTCTAATTTCATAGCAGTCCCTCTGCTATGGAGACATATTCCAGTTCATCACCTCTGTGCCAACCATCAACTATGCCCCGCCAACTGTTCATCTGATCAACGAAGTATTTGCCATGTAGTGTGTATAAAATCTGATGACTTGCACGAAACTCTGAAGGCACTGTTACAAAATTCTAAATTTTCAAGGGCAACATGTCAAATTTCAGAAAGTTCAGGCCAGACTACAAATTCATAGACCGCATGGTCTATTTTGCAATTCTCAGAAATCCTAATGGACTATATTGTAACTATCATAAAGTTCAGTGACTGCATTAAAATTTCAGAAAGTGCAGGGGCCATTTGGTAAATGTCAGAAATTAATGAAAATTTCCAAACTTAAAAGAATTCAAGAAACATTGTGCCAAGGGGAAGTTTTCAAAGATTCGGGAAGTTAAGGGCCAAATTTGTCATATTGCCTATCTTCAAGGGATCTTTAGTAATTCCCTATTCAAGATGTCCATAATCATGAATTTATCATAACCACTGTGACATTTATTGTTTCCCAAGTCATCCCCAAAACTCTCCTACCAGCCCTATTTTCACGAGCCAAGAGTGCCTTCTGGGAGCATTTTATTGAGGAGCTTTCCATCTCCAAAGGACTTCTTTCATATCAGAGGTGCAATCCACTCTTATGCTACTTCAACATATTCAAGTATATCGTTTACATAATGAAACTGCATGGCCATCTTCCTTGACAACGGATATATTTTGTTTACAATCAACTCCCCGTAGTGATGTACAGTTCAATAATATTGCTCCTGATTAACTGTTAACCTTTTTCCTATATGTCCCTACTTCATCCAAAACTATCATATATATGCCAAATGGTGACAAAACTTTATGGCATTCCTTCTTGCTCAATACTCTTCAAGAGCTGGGAATGGACCAGCTGACTACAACATATTGGCTGAATGCTTCACCAAGCCAAGTGAACTAATTTAGTGATGCTAGTAGCCTAGTATCAAAGGTCTTCACTGAAGAAGCTAAGACAGGAATTTCAATCCGTACAAACTTTCTTGCAACTCTTGCAAGTGGGAAAGCATACTTGCATGTCCTATCCTCATTAGGAGTGCCAACTAATCTGTCTACTTTAGCGCATTTTTCATGGATTTTGTGCTTATTATCCAATAAACATTTTGTGGATTCGAGCAAAACAATATTTTACACCTAAGTCAATACCATTATACCAGCAAATTATCCTATATGCATCGCCATGTACACATGCTCTATAATAGAATGGGGTTGAACGCAAGACTAACATGTACTTGGGCTGTCTGTATTGATTTATAGCAATACCCTTCACTGGTTTTTGGATGACACAATTCTCACAACAAATGATAATTAGGATGCCCACTTCGGTTTTAGATGGTATCATCCCTCTTAGTATGTTGCTTCTGTTAGCCCCTCCGTTCACAACTCGTCCAGAAAATTAAGATGCTTACATTCATCATGTTCATGACTCTCATCTAGAGAGAGAAATTTTACCCATGGGGACGGGTACCCAACCCTAATGGGGCGGAGATTCCCCGCTTTTGGTGGGTAATGGGGCGGGGACGGGGATTTATTTTCATACATGAAGTGGGGTCGAGGTCAGGGTCAGGGTCGAGAATGACACTACTCGTCCCTAATCCGAACCCGATTAAACTTTTATTTTGTTAAATATATGTATATGCATAGGGCAACCTTCATTTGAGATCCTTCTAATTCGTGACATCCGTGAGGTACATTCTAGTCCACAAATTATATTTAATTAAAGGTTAATAAAGAAACGTTGTATTTTTAATAATTTGACTAAATAATTTAAATAAGGAAAATTTTAGATACTTAGTAATTCTCTCTCTCCCCCCTATCTATGATCTTTCCACTGAAAAATAAATCATCCTCATATAACGTGCACCATAACAATACACCATTGTGTGTCATGTGTGCACAATGTGATAATAACATTCACACTATGTATACACTTAGTTGGTGTGCACATTGTGAATTTGTGATGCACATGGTTCACAATGCGATAGTATCTTAATGTGCAAATACACCAAACAATATAGATCTTATCGTTTTAGTGGGTTCACAATGTAATTTCAGTATGTTCATTATTTGAAACCTTATTGTTTTAGTGTGTTCACATTGTGATTTATGTATTTAATTATTTGAAATCTTATTGTTTTAGTTTGTTCACGTTGTGCACATAACTTGATAGTTAGATGGTTTGGATGAAAATGAAATGGATGGGAGAGGTGAGAAAAAAAGGGGTGGTTACAATTTAGGTGTGGAGAAAGTGATATATATATATATAATAGATTTTCCTAAAAATGGTTTGATTAGTTGTCATTAATAATTACATTACTAAATTAACCTTTTATGTTCGATTAATAAATCAAATTAATTAAGCCAAAATGAGTGGACTAGAATAGATTTCACGGATCTCTCAATTTTTCGAGTTCTCGAATGATTAATCCCCTATGTATATATATGTATATATTTATAAATCTTTATAATTATATAAGAAATATATATGATTTTCAATATTGCTAAGTAATTTAGTGATGATCCATTGTAATTTTTATTTTAAAATACGATGTTTTTTATTGTCTTTTTACTAACCCAAACCCGCCGGGGATTCCATCCTCCCGAACCTGTCGGAATCAGATATGGGGACAAGGGGATTAAACCGGGGTCTGGGT